CTGTGGACTGACAGCCGCTACTGGACCCAGGCGGAGCGGGAGCTGGACTGCAACTGGGAGCTGCAGAGGACACGTCAGTGGGGGCAGGATGGGGGGGCTGCTGAGTCTCCCCGATCCCAGGACCCCCCAGCCCCTCGGCTGGGCTCGGCGTGGGGCGGGACGGTGCAAACTGGCGGTGCCACCCAGCTCTGTCCTGCAGCCTCCATCGAGTCCATCGCGATGTGGATCGTGAGAGCGGTTCCTGCCGAGGGGAACGTCGCTTTGGACCCCTTCCTGTTCTCCATCGGTAGGGCCGGCTGGTCCTGGGGGTCACCCCGCCCGCGGGAGGGCATCCCCTGGGTGCGGATTGACCAAACCTGCTCATCCCCAGACACCTGGAACAGCTACAGCCGAGCCCTGCACGGCTCCGGCCGGACCCTGCTGCCCCTCGAGACCAACCTTGTGGATGAGGCGTGGGGTGACCAGAGACCCCTTCCCTCCTCCAGCGAGATCTACAGCCTGCCAGCAGAGTTCACAGGTCTGACCCCAGCCTCCCGCAGCCTCTGGGTGGGCGCTCTCCCCCAGCCCCCCCGGCTGGGCCCGCGGTGGGCCCCGCGCTGAGCCCCCCGCCCGCCCGGCTGGCAGGGAGCAGCTGGCAGGAGAAGGTGGCTGGGATCCGGCAGCGGATGGAGCAGCACGTGCGGCGCCCCACGGCCGTGCTGCTGTCGGGGCTGGAGGAGACGGCCTGTAGGTACCCCCGGGACCGGCAGGGGCCGTGCGCTCCAACCAGGGGCTGGGAGGGCAGCGGCAGCCGCGGAGGTCTCGTTCCTGGCAGGGCTCTTCAACCTCCGCGGAGATGACATCCCCTACAACCCCGTCTTCTACTCCTACACCCTCCTGACCAACACCACCATAAGGTGGGCAGCGCGTCCCTGTGGGCACGGAGGGGGCTCACTACCCACCCCCCTTCCACCTTTCCTTTCCCGAGCCGGCCCCCATGGCACCCTCTCTCAGCCCCGTCTCCCCTTACCCCCAGAGCCATCCCATCCTCTGTGCCCAGCCCCACTGACCGTCCTGAGCCACACATCTTTCCCAATCCATCCCCCCGCTCCCAGCCCACTCCAGGGCCCGGCACACTCCCTTTCCTCACGGCCCGAGCTCCTGCCATTCCCAGCCCGGCAACCCCTCTGAGCCCCCCAGCTCGCTCCTCTCTGCCGGCTGGGGGTGCCGGGGGGGCGGGTGACCCCACGGCCGTGCCCGGCCCATGGCGCTCCCCCCGCAGCCTGTTCGTGGAGGAGCGGCGGCTCTCGGAGGCGGCTCGGGGCTCGCTGCTCTCGGGCTGCCCGGGGCCGCTGTGCGTGGAGCTGCGGGACTACGGGCAGGTGAGCGCCCACCTGCGCCGCTACGCCCAGGGCAACGTCACGGTGTGGCTGGGCACCGAGTACACCACCTACGGCCTCTACGGCATCATCCCCCAGGTGGGCACCGAGCCGGGGGCATCTGGCTCCTGCGGGCTCGGGGACGGCCCCGTGTCACGGCGTCGCGGCCGCCCCTGGGGCCTGAGGGGACGGGTGGCTGTGCCACCTCCTGCCTGCCCTCACAGGAGAAGCTGCTGGAGGAGAACTACTCGCCTGTCATGATGGCCAAGGCTGTGAAAAACGCCCACGAGCAGGAGATGCTGCGAGCTGCCCACGTAAGGGCTGTACCCCTCCCCACAGTCCCCCGCAGAACAGGGGGGACACTGGAGGAAGCAGGGTGCTGACGCCCCCTCCCCGCTGCCACCGGGCACCCCCAGGTCCGGGACGCGGTGGCCGTCATCCAGTACCTGCTGTGGTTGGAGAAGAAGGTCCCGCAGGGGCAGGTGGATGAGTTTTCGGGGGCTCAGCACATCGATGCGCTTCGCTGGTCAGTGCTGCCCCCAGGCCTGCCCTGCCCAGTGAAGGGCAGCCGGGGACCCCCAGCACCTCCCTCCCTCCCTCCCTGCTGCCTTCCAGGGCCCAGGAGCACAGCCACGGGCCCAGCTTCCAGTCCATCTCTGCCAGCGGGCTGAACGCAGCGCTGGCTCACTACAGGTACGGCTGGGGCAGCGCTGGGCAGGGGCCGGTGGGCAGTGGGCAGCTGGGAGAGGGCTCTGACCCCCCTCCCCTGCAGCCCCTCCAACGGGAGCAGCCGGACGCTGTCTGTGAGAGAGATGTACCTCTTTGACACCGGAGGGCAATACCTGTGCGTATTGAACAGAGACCCCCACCACTGCCCCACATCCAGGGGCCCCCAAAGCCAGCACTGGGGCTGCATCAGCCCCATTCATGTCCCCCCCTTGCAGGGATGGGACAACAGACATCACTCGTACAGTGCACTGGGGCGAGCCCACCCCGCTCCAGAAGGTACCAACCCCTCCCATGGCAGCCAGGATCCCCCTGCTCTGCCCAGGACACCCCTGAGATGCCCAGCACCCCCTGTGGCACTCGGTCCTGGCCAGGGCTGGATGTGCAGGGGTGGCTGTCTGGCACCACCGCACTCAGCCCCGCCGTGCCCCTCAGGAAGCGTACACCCGTGTGCTGATGGGCAACATCGACCTCTCCCACCTCGTCTTCCCATCCAACACAGCAGGTGGGTGCTGAGCCCAGTGCAGAACCTGTGCAGAATCCCTGGCACAGGGAGCAGGAGGGCACGGGGGACCCCATAGGCTCCTTGGCCCCCATCCCACCTCTCCATTCCCCAGGGAGAACGGTGGAGTCCTTCGCCCGCCGGGCACTCTGGGACGTTGGACTCAACTACGGCCATGGGACCGGCCACGGCATCGGCAACTTCCTCTCAGTCCACGAGTGTAGGTGCCACCAGCGCTGGTGCTGGGCATTGGGCTGAGCAACAGGGACAGGGACGAGGACAGGAGCTCACTGGGGGCTTCTCATCAGCCAGCAGAGCCTCTATAAGGGGCAGGGGAATCTCTACTTGCAACATCTTGTGGTCTTTGCCAGGGTGGCCCCGTGATCCTTGCTGAGGTGGTCCCAAGGTCCTTGCCAGGATGATCCTTGTCCTTGTAGCAACCCTTGCCTTGGTGGCTCTGGTCCTTGCTGGGGTGTCGCTGCAGTTTGTGCCATCCCCCGAGCTCATCCTGCCCCATGTCCCTGCAGGGCCCGTGGGTTTCCAGTCCAACAACGTGCCGCTGGAGGCCGGCATGTTCACCTCCATCGGTACGTGCCAGCACCCCCTGGCACCCCGGGACAGCTCTGGGCACAGAGCCCAACCAGTGCCAGCTCTCAGCCCCACTCAGGGGCCAGACCCAGCCCCACTGGCTGGGCTGGGGGAGCCTCTGGGGCTGGGGGCTCACCAGGGTTGTTTCCAACCCTCAGAGCCCGGGTATTATCAGGATGGCGAGTTCGGAATCCGCATTGAGGATGTCGCTGTTGTGGTGGAGGCACAGACTGAGGTAGGGCAGTGGGGATGGGGTGACAGGGGTGACAGGGGTGACAGGGGTGACAGGGGTGACAGGGGTGACAG